AAATCCAAAAATTAAATCACCAATATAACAATAATTAAAAATTTGATGATTTAAAAAACTTTGTTCTACAAAAATGAATTGTTAAAATAAATTTACTATTCAGGATATACGATTATGTTATACGTATATTATTTTATCTAATAGCTCGTCGACGACTGGAATATTTCATAATAATTGTGGAACGAAAATAACATTAAAACGTATTGCAATCATGTGATTAGAAACTAGGCGAGTGAATTTATATTTAGAATAGTATTACCTCTCGTCCAGGAAATTGTATTGACTACTGTCAATTTGTAACCCCTATCACTTTACACGATTTTCATTTGATTATTCTATATTTATTTTTAGTCAATGTGTGTCGTCTCGCCATGATCGATTTCGCTTTCGTACTGTAGGTCGTGTTGGCTATTTGGAGATCGCACGTCCACTGGCTTTCAAGAAATTTGGTCTACAGTTTATTGTGATTGGAAACACGTAGTAGAAGGCATTAAAAGACACGAACAGTCACACGTTCACTACATTTCATGTTTGGTATATGAAAAATGGTTTTCAAATAAAACATTAAATGAAGAACTAGAGGTAAGTATAAAAAAAGAAAAACTTTTTTGGCGTCAGGTATTAGAACGAATTTTAAATATTACTCTTACATTAGCTAAGCGAAACTTACCTTTTTGTGGCCATAAAGAAAAGCTCGGTAGTGGGAACAGAGAAAATGGCAATTTTATTTGTTTTATTGAGCTACTTGCAAAATACGATACCGTATTAGAAAAAGTTATAAATCCAGGTAGTAATAAAATAAATTACTGTAGCCCTAAGATTCAAAATGAATTGATACAGTTAGTTTTAAATAAAGTGAAACGTTTCTACGTTTGTTCTCTTTAAATATGAAAACACAACACAAATTGTTCGACTAATCGATTTATTCTGATTTATTTTTATATAAAGGTGAATATATACATATATTAATTAACTAACTACTATATCAGTCTTATTTTAGAAACTAACTTTACTAACTTACTTTGGGGTGAGGTAGGGATATAACCCTCTGGATCACGGTTGATAACGAATGGTTATAAACACCGTTGCAGAAGGTTAAGAGGAGTTTTACAAAAAGATAGTTATCTTATGTAAGTGGTGAAATCCAACCCTTTTGGATCACGGTTGGTAAAGTGTTTATTACAAGCACCGTTGCAAAAGGATTAAGGAGGAAAGCTTAAGAAAAAAACTAGCAATCTTGATCACGGTTGATATCACGATGGTTATAATCACCGTTGAAGATTATGACTAGCCTTTAAAGAAAAGAAATACATAATTTTGATCTCGGTTGGTAACGATTAGTCACCAGACACCGTTGAAAAGTATATAAGTATTAAGAATTAAGTAAAAAGCACTAAATAAAGAACATTTACTCGAATGAAAGCTGAATGAAAGGAGAGTAGTTGATAATAAATATTGCGATAACTAATAAAAAGTAGAAAATACTAATGTAATACTTTTAGAATTTACTAGGAGAAATGAATATTTAAATGAGTAGTGACGGTGTACTTTATGCTACCCGTCACCACCGGAGTAGTGTAGAACAATTGCCCACATATTATTTATTTTTAAAACCTTCTAAAAACAAAAGAATATTCTAATTTCCTATTTTCGAGTTCTCGCTAAGACTGGTATATAAAATAATCATTACAATAAATATAATAAAAAATAATAAAAAAAATAATAGATAAATACTTTAATTTACATTTTTTGAATAAGGGTTGTCGAACAGCGCTGTCCAGCGGACTTTCTTGCAACTGTCAACCAATGATAAAGCAGTAGCGTAACGCTACAAAAGTCAAAAACGAATTAATACTGAAAATTAAAGAAGCTCCTTCTTTTTCTATTATAACCGATACAACACAAGATATTTCAAAAATTTTATTCATCATGACATTTTTTTAACATAAGAAATATCATATAAAAAAGTTTTTTTTTTTAACTTAATTCTATTATTCATTTTCTATTATAAATTTATAATAGTTAAACTTTAATGTGAAACATTAAATTGTTATGTAATTTATATAACCAATTAATTTGCATGAATTGAAAGGGAATTATTTTTAGTAATACGTTAATTATTATCATTATAAAACAATTTTTTGAAAATCAAATCGTCTAGAAGTTTAACATAGGTTGGGTGGGGTGAGTTACTACTTATTGTTTAAAATAAGTAAAATAATGTTTTTTCTTTCGGGGTGTGAGTGCAAAGGTACCTAAAATAGATAAAACGGTAAAAAAATGTTCTTTATTTATTAATATGAAAATTATTGTGATTAATTAGCATTTTTTTTTTACATCAATAACGTTAATAGTATCAGAAAATACCTCATCTCGGGTCAACTAGTCTGGTAATAAATAAATAGAGTAGAAATTACATGCGAGATCTCTAAACTTAATTTTATACCTTATATATAATTAGTAAAATTATTACTTTTATTTTACATTAATGTTAATAATAAATATATTGAAATAAATACACTTTGTTTCTTTTTATTTCTATGATATAAATTTGAGTACTCTCAGTGAATTTTTGCATTTAAGTCGAATACAGTGAACGGTGAGGAGGACTGACAATATAACAATTGTGAGAAATATAACTGTTAGGTTTTTGAACATTTTTTTTATATTAATTTTAAAGGTTATATAAATGCAAAAAGTGATTTTTGACGATACCATTATTTATTTATTAGCTTTTAGTAATTTATTACAATTTTGTTTGAATGAAAAACATAAAGTTTGTTACATATACTTACTGTTGAATGGAATAGGTTATGTAATTAAAAGATTTAGAAATTATTCGTAATATAATAGTATTTAATATAAAATGTCAAAACATATAATATAAGAGATGTACAACGGCAACGGGTCACTTTACTCGATAGACGGTGAAACTACGACTAAACTGTAAACATGTATACAATAGGCTGCATTGAGTAAAACAACATAATCGTAAAAGGAATGTGTCCCTTTGACCTTGTACTATACTAACATAAGTAAAAATACATTAAACTGTTATCTTAAATAATATTACTGTACCCAGTGTGTTGTTTAATAATATCAACACTTACATATTACTATTTCTTAATGTTTACTACATCCTGTTTATAATATTTTATTTTATATATTAATATATTTAAAAATGCTATTTATAATAAATCATAATAACAATAACAAAAGGAAGTATATGTATATATATATTATAAAGGGTATATGTTTTATAGTAACACAATTAAATCAAGGAAACCTTCAATAAAAAAAAAAAAAAATGATAATGTTCATAGAAAAATAAAACATTTAATTATTTTATAAATCAAAATATTTGAGTCTTTATTTTATTACTTTAAATGTTGTAATTAAGAAGAATAGAACTATTATAATTATAATTATAATTAAGTTATTAAAATTGTATTTCGCAGATTAGTACTTAACGTTAAAATAAGGTCATAAACAATTATATCAATTAATATTTGTTTGGTTGCGTACGTTATACTAACTTCAAGAAATTTTGAATTAAACTTCTGCAATTCACATATATATTTTTGAATTATTTTAGTAACCAAATGAGTTTAACTATTGTCTAAAATTCTTTTCTTTCTAACATGTTTTACCATATTTAAATTTGACTGGATCGGCCATAATAAGTATTTTCATAAAATAATATACTATTATACTAAAAATTCAAAATTTCTGAAGAACTTATTGACAACTTCTTTTATAATAAAGGTATAATCTTCTAATCTATTTTTACAATTAAGGATGGACTGAGAGATATTCAACCTTTTTTATTAGAATAAAATAATAATTATCTTCTACTATGATTGATGTTGTTGAGGGACCTGAAATTACCGTAATACCTTCATCTGAGAAAATACTAACTAAATCGCATACAACAATGAGTAATAATGTATTTATTACACCTCCTAAAAAAATACTTAATATGGATAGCTGTCCAACAAGCCAATTATGGAATAGCAAGAAATTTATTGCAGAATCAAATACCAATACTAAAGACTTTGTTACACCTTCAAAAAAGAATATATTGAGAAAGGACAGCTGTCAAAAAAGGTTATTTTGCGATGATGAGGCTATTAGCCGTCCGGAAATGATAAGTTTGCTGAGAAATAAAGGTAAACTAAGAGGTCTAGATATAAGTCTAGTCAAAAGTCCTTTGAAAAGATTAAGGGAAAGAAATTTGAACATAAGTCAAGAATTTGGTCTCCCCCAAAGGTACAATATATGTATCGCCCAAGTCTTTAAGAAGTAAATATGGGCGTTCATAGTTTCTGCCAAATCTGAATAAGGTCGTTTTTTTGTTTCCGCCAAACTGATCTTCTACCTGTTTATCTATTAAAAAAATTGAGAACCATTTAGCTTTATCCATGGTAGGCAGCTTCCCGTACCAAAATTTTCGGCATTTATTAGTTATAGAATTCAATGTTACGTTCAGGTCTGTATTTATGATTTTTGCGTGGGGTATTAATATTAATGAGCAAAATAAAGTAATTTTTTACAATATTTTTTCCCATCGCCATCAATTGACATTTGCCCTCCTTAACCACTCCCTAAATAGAGTCACATCGTTTTGGATAATTACTTATTTTATCACATAAGTACACTTTTATAAACAAAATATGGCATTTTACCAAAGGTAAATAAATTATAATAGATCACTGTCTTAAATATGTATATATATTTTTGTAATAAAAAATAAAAATATAGTTTATAAGAAAATATAGTCATCAAAACATTGAAATAAAATTCAAATATTAATTATAAGCTTAAAAAAAATTTAATATGTGTAATAATATAATAAAAAATAGATCTATGATCTATACATTTTTCGGTAGTTGTTGGAAACTAATTTCACAAATTCAAGTCTGCTAATTTTATTTTTATTAAACTTATCAATTGCCTCTTTTGTTTTATTGAAACGGATTCAATTTTATTCCTTACGCTTATTATCTCAATATTGCGTTATTAGAACTATATATTTTAATGTAATTATAAGATTGAACGTTTTCTATTAAAAGTTTTAAAAATATATTAATAGAAGGATGTGCCTTATAAAATTGTTCATTAAAATATGAATGGAATGATTCACGATTATTTGTTATCCGGGCCAATAAGGGGTCCATCAATGTCCAAATTTTTGGAGGATATTTGCTTTCCTCAGAAATATAATTGTCGATTAAGTAATCAGCATACTCAATAAAAGCTGTTCCCTCAGGTATTGATGTCATGAAGTCATCAACGAAACAATCAGACACGTCTTATGGATTTAAAAAAGTTAATCTGAAGGTACCTTTTAACCATTCACATGTTTTATAAGCATTACTCAAACCTAACTCTAGAAGTTTTCTGTACCTACTCTGGGTTAAGTGAAATCTACAACCAATTATAGTAACTAATGGCCACACAATTAGAGCAGCTTTGTGAATAGAAACTTCGAAATCGGCAGTTATATTTTCAGGATACAGTAATACATTTTTTTCAGAGCATTTATATTATTTTATAACCTCAAAAGCTTCTTTATAAGTCTCTATAAATTTATTTTTTAATAAACAAAAAACAAGTGGTACATAGTAATTGTTTATATATCCGTGTATGGTAAATAATTGTACAAAATGTTTTGGGTAATACTGAAAAGTTCCGTCTAAATATATTGATTTGGAATTGCAAAGAAATTTGAGGTTTGTATCACAAGAAAAAATAATAATATTTTTATTTATTTTAGCTTCGATGCGAAGCTGAGAAGGTATTAATTTTACCATGATGTGTTTATTTTTTTTTTGTGTCTGTCACTACTTTTTCTCAGCTCTCACTGGACCGATTTCTTTTAACAATACGTCAAAAGATCACAAATTGTATCTAGTTGAAGACATTACCCTTAAAAATTTAAAAATTTTCCCTCGTTCCCCGCAAATGGGGGAAATATCCAAAAAAATTACAAATTTAAAAATCGACAAATTTTGTCATTTTT